CCGCCGTCTCCACCGCCACCTCCGTTTCCGCCGTCTCCACCGCCACCTCCGTTTCCGCCGTCTCCACCGCCACCTCCATTTCCACCATCTTCACCGCCACCTCCGTTTCCGCCGTCTCCACCGCCACCTCCGTTTCCGCCGTCTCCACCGCCACCTCCGTTTCCGCCGTCTCCGCCTCCACCTCCGTTTCCGCCGTCTCCACCGCCACCTCCATTTCCGCCGTCTCCACCGCCACCTCCGTTTCCACCGTCTCCTCCACCATTTCCGCCGTCTCCACCGCCACCTCCGTTCCCGCCGTCTCCACCGCCACCTCCGCCACCTCCATTTCCGCCACTACCTCCTCCACATGGTAGACCTTCTGGAGTCAAGTAGCTGCCTGTCACACACGGAGAAGCCCATTCGTGATCACAGGTGAGTTTCTGTTGGTTCCAGACTGTTCCAGGAGCACAAGGCATCTCTTCAGGACCATATGGGGCACACTGGATGAACTTGCGGCAGTCAGTTGGATGTGGAAGATACTTTCCGAGGGAGCAGTCAATGACGCAGCCGTCGATGTTTCCACCACCTCCTCCATTACCGCCGTCTCCACCGCCACCTCCATTTCCGCCGTCTCCACCGCCACCGCCATTTCCACCGTCTCCACCGCCACCATTTCCACCGTCTCCGCCTCCACCTCCGTTTCCGCCGTCTCCACCGCCACCTCCATTTCCACCATCTCCACCACCACCTCCATTTCCGCCGTCTCCACCGCCACCGCCATTTCCGCCTTCTCCACCGCCACCTCCGTTTCCACCATCTCCACCACCACCTCCGTTTCCGCCGTCTCCACCACCACCTCCATTTCCGCCACTACCTCCTCCACATGGTAGACCTTCTGGAGTCAAGTAGCTGCCTGTCACACACGGAGAAGCCCATTCGTGATCACAGGTGAGTTTCTGTTGGTTCCAGACTGTTCCAGGAGCACAAGGCATCTCTTCAGGACCATACGGGGCACACTGGATGAACTTGCGGCAGTCAGTTGGATGTGGAAGATACTTTCCGAGGGAGCAGTCAATGACGCAGCCGTCGATGTTTCCACCATCTCCTCCATTACCGCCATCTCCACCGCCACCTCCGTTTCCACCATCTCCACCACCACCTCCATTTCCGCCGTCTCCACCGCCACCTCCGTTTCCACCGTCTCCACCACCACCTCCGTTTCCGCCGTCTCCACCGCCACCTCCGTTTCCACCGTCTCCACCGCCACCTCCGTTTCCACCGTCTCCGCCTCCACCTCCACCTCCGTTTCCGCCGTCTCCACCGCCACCTCCATTTCCGCCACTACCTCCTCCACATGGTAGACCTTCTGGAGTCAAGTAACTGCCTGTCACACACGGAGAAGCCCATTCGTGATCACAGGTGAGTTTCTGTTGGTTCCAGACTGTTCCAGGAGCACAAGGCATCTCTTCAGGACCATACGGGGCACACTGGATGAACTTGCGGCAGTCAGTTGGATGTTGAAGATACTTTCCGAGGGAGCAGTCAATGACGCAGCCGTCGATGGTTCCACCATCTCCTCCATTACCGCCACCTCCATTTCCACCGTCTCCACCGCCACCTCCATTTCCGCCGCCTCCACCGCCACCTCCGTTTCCACCGTCTCCACTGCCACCTCCGTTTCCGCCGTCTCCACCTCCACCTCCGTTTCCGCCGTCTCCACCGCCACCGCCATTTCCACCGTCTCCACCGCCACCTCCGTTTCCACCGTCTCCTCCTCCACCTCCATTTCCGCCACTACCTCCTCCACATGGTAGACCTTCTGGAGTCAAGTAGCTGCCTGTCACACATGGAGAAGCCCATTCATGATCACACGTGAGTTTCTGTTGGTTCCAGACTGTTCCAGGAGCACAAGGCATCTCTTCAGGACCATACGGGGCACACTGGATGAACTTGCGGCAGTCAGTAGGATGTGGAAGATACTTACCGAGAGAGCAGTCAATGACGCAGCCATCGATGGTTCCACCATCTCCTCCATTACCGCCATCTCCACCGCCACCTCCATTTCCACCGTCTCCACCGCCACCTCCGTTTCCACCGTCTCCACCGCCACCTCCGTTTCCGCCGTCTCCGCCTCCACCTCCGTTTCCGCCGTCTCCATCACCACCTCCATTTCCGCCACTACCTCCACACGGTAGACCTTCTGGAGTCAAGTAGCTGCCTGTCACACACGGAGAAGCCCATTCATGATCACAGGTAAGTTTCTGTTGGTTCCAGACTGTTCCAGGAGCACAAGGCATCTCTTCAGGACCATACGGGGCACACTGGATGAACTTGCGGCAGTCAGTTGGATGTGGAAGATACTTTCCAAGGGAGCAGTCAATGACGCAGCCGTCGATGTTTCCACCATCTCCTCCATTACCGCCGTCTCCACCGCCACCGCCATTTCCGCCTCCACCTCCGTTTCCACCGTCTCCACCGCCACCTCCGTTTCCACCGTCTCCGCCGCCACCTCCATTTCCGCCGTCTCCACCGCCACCTCCACCTCCGTTTCCGCCATCTCCACCGCCACCTCCGTTTCCGCCGTCTCCGCCTCCACCTCCGTTTCCACCTCCACCTCCGTTTCCACCATCTCCACCGCCACCTCCGTTTCCGCCGTCTCCACCGCCACCGCCATCTCCGCCTCCACCTCCGTGTCCGCCGTCTCCACCGCCACCTCCGTTTCCGCCGTCTCCACCGCCACCTCCGTTTCCGCCGTCTCCACCTCCACCTCCGTTCCCGCCGTCTCCACCACCACCTCCATTTCCGCCACTACCTCCTCCACACGGTAGACCTTCTGGAGTCAAGTAGCTGCCTGTCACACACGGAGAAGCCCATTCGTGATCACAGGTGAGTTTGTGTTGGTTCCAGACTGTTCCAGGAGCACAAGGCATCTCTTCAGGACCATACGGGGCACACTGGATGAACTTGCGGCAGTCAGTTGGATGTGGAAGATACTTTCCAAGGGAGCAGTCAATGACGCAGCCGTCGATGTTTCCACCACCTCCTCCATTACCGCCGTCTCCCCCGCCACCTCCGTTTCCGCCGTCTCCCCCGCCACCTCCGTTTCCGCCGTCTCCGCCGTCTCCACCGCCACCGCCATTTCCACCGTCTCCACCGCCACCATTTCCACCGTCTCCGCCTCCACCTCCGTTTCCGCCGTCTCCACCGCCACCTCCGTTTCCACCGTCTCCACCGTCTCCACCGCCACCTCCGTTTCCACCGTCTCCGCCTCCACCTCCACCTCCGTTTCCGCCGTCTCCACCGCCACCTCCATTTCCGCCACTACCTCCTTCACACGGTAGACCTTCTGGAGTCAAGTAGCTGCCTGTCACACACGGAGAAGCCCATTCGTGATCACAGGTGAGTTTCTGTTGGTTCCAGACTGTTCCAGGAGCACAAGGCATCTCTTCAGGACCATATGGGGCACACTGGATGAACTTGCGGCAGTCAGTTGGATGTGGAAGATACTTTCCGAGGGAGCAGTCGATGACGCAGCCGTCGATGTTCCCACCATCTCCTCCATTACCGCCATCTCCACCACCACCTCCATTTCCGCCGTCTCCACCGCCACCTCCGTTTCCACCGTCTCCACCACCACCTCCGTTTCCACCGCCACCTCCGTTTCCACCGTCTCCACCGCCACCGCCATTTCCACCGTCTCCACCGTCTCCACCGCCACCTCCGTTTCCACCGTCTCCGCCTCCACCTCCGTTTCCGCCATCTCCACCGCCACCTCCATTTCCGCCACTACCTCCTCCACATGGTAGACCTTCTGGAGTCAAGTAGCTGCCTGTCACACACGGAGAAGCCCATTCGTGATCACAGGTGAGTTTCTGTTGGTTCCAGACTGTTCCAGGAGCACAAGGCATCTCTTCAGGACCATACGGGGCACACTGGATGAACTTGCGGCAGTCAGTTGGATGTTGAAGATACTTTCCGAGGGAGCAATCAATGATGCAGCCGTCGATGTTTCCACCATCTCCTCCATTACCGCCATCTCCACCGCCACCTCCGTTTCCACCATCTCCACCACCACCTCCATTTCCGCCGTCTCCACCGCCACCTCCATTTCCGCCGTCTCCACCGCCACCTCCGTTTCCACCGTCTCCACCACCACCTCCGTTTCCGCCGTCTCCACCTCCACCGCCACCACCTCCGTTTCCGCCGTCTCCACCTCCACCGCCACCACCGTCTCCACCGCCACCTCCGTTTCCACCGTCTCCGCCTCCACCTCCGTTTCCGCCATCTCCACCGCCACCTCCATTTCCGCCACTACCTCCTCCACATGGTAGACCTTCTGGAGTCAAGTAGCTGCCTGTCACACACGGAGAAGCCCATTCGTGATCACAGGTGAGTTTCTGTTGGTTCCAGACTGTTCCAGGAGCACAAGGCATCTCTTCAGGACCATACGGGGCACACTGAATGAACTTGCGGCAGTCAGTTGGATGTGGAAGATACTTTCCAAGGGAGCAGTCGATGACGCAGCCGTCGATGTTTCCACCATCTCCACCGCCACCGCCATTTCCGCCTCCACCTCCGTTTCCACCGTCTCCACCGCCACCTCCGTTTCCACCGTCTCCGCCGCCTCCTCCATTTCCACCGTCTCCACCGCCACTTCCACTGCCTCCACCTCCACCATTGCCTCCTTCTCCTCCACCCCCTGATCCACCTCCACTTCCTCCATTGCCGCCATTTCCACCGTCACCTCCTCCACTTCCACTGCCTCCACCTCCACCATTGCCTCCTTCTCCTCCACCCCCTGATCCACCTCCACTTCCTCCATTGCCGTTATTTCCACCATCACCTCCTCCACTTCCACTGCCTCCACCTCCACCGTTGCCTCCTTCTCCTCCACCTCCTGATCCACCTCCACTTCCTCCATTGCCGTTATTTCCACCATCACCTCCTCCACTTCCACTGCCTCCACCTCCACCGTTGCCTCCTTCTCCTCCGCCTCCTGATCCACCTCCACTTCCTCCATTGCCGCCATTTCCACCGTCACCTCCTCCACTTCCACTGCCTCCACCTCCACCATTGCCTCCTTCTCCTCCACCCCCTGATCCACCTCCACTTCCTCCATTGCCGTTATTTCCACCGTCACCTCCTCCACTTCCACTGCCTCCACCTCCACCATTGCCTCCTTCTCCTCCACCCCCTGATCCACCTCCACTTCCTCCATTGCCGCCATTTCCACCGTCACCTCCTCCACTTCCACTGCCTCCACCTCCACCATTGCCTCCTTCTCCTCCACCCCCTGATCCACCTCCACTTCCTCCATTGCCGTTATTTCCACCGTCACCTCCTCCACTTCCACTGCCTCCACCTCCACCGTTGCCTCCTTCTCCTCCGCCTCCTGATCCACCTCCACTTCCTCCATTGCCGTTATTTCCTCCGTCACCTCCACCTCCGTTTCCACCGTCTCCGCCTCCAGCTTCTCCACTCCCACCTCCGTTTCCACCATTACCACCACATTCATGACTGTGGCTTCCTGATTCATGGCTGTGACCTGGTTTGTGGCTTTCATTACTTCCAGACTCTTTACTTCCTGACTCTTTGCTTCCAGACTCTTTACTTCCAGATTCTTTGCTTCCGGACTCTTTGCTTCCGGACTCTTTACTTCCGGACTCTTTACTGCCTGATTCTTTGCTTCCGGACTCTTTACTTCCGGACTCTTTGCTTCCGGACTCTTTACTTCCAGACTCTTTACTTCCGGACTCTTTACTTCCAGACTCTTTACTTCCGGACTCTTTGCTTCCGGACTCTTTGCTTCCGGACTCTTTGCTTCCGGACTCTTTACTTCCAGACTCTTTACTTCCGGACTCTTTGCTTCCGGACTCTTTGCTTCCAGACTCTTTGCTTCCATGATGTTTTCTTCTAGGTCCTTTTTCTTCCAAGGCAAATGTCCTCTTGCTAATAATTTGGTTTTCTTTGCAGTTGCCGCAGGACTTGGGACAGTTCCTGAGAACAAACGACTGCCAGTCACAGTTATTCCCACTGCACTGACACCCTCCATCCTTAACAAACTTTGGACAATCCAAACGTCGGTCAACGCAGGCCGTCTCCAGGAAAGCACCTACTTCCCAGGCCCCTTCACTGCAGTCTACATTGATGGCCAGATCGCACTGTGAGGTGTCACGATTGAAAAGAAGGCCGCTACTGCAGAAGTGTTGCACTGCTTGACCACCCTCACCTGGAACACCGACAGAGCATAATTTCTTATACACAAATTACCACAATTTTTTTTTTTTTTTGTTTTTTTTTGGGGGGGGGGTATGTTACCTTTAGGTAATGCCATATATGTATTTAAAGCAAATGTGTGAATGTTCCACCATATTTACCATCATAAAGCTACACAACATCAGAGTAGACATACATTGGTGATTATTTAAAAGGTGAAGAAAAAATATAGTACTGAAAAAAATGAATGAAAAGGAGAATCATAGCTGACACCAACCTTGAAGATGTAACCATTTTTTTTTTTTTTTTTTTGATATTGGTCCTGGAGAAATGCTTATAAACGAAAGAAAATCGGGCATAGAGCGGAAAAGCAAACCCCTTCTAAACTTTAGAGAAAGTAAAATGAAACTCACACTGCCAATAAGCAGAACACATTTCAGACGAAGGGTACCGGCAGTTGTCACAGGAGCAGGTGGGCGCTGGTTCACATTTGGTGTTCTCCGGCAGATCACATTGTTCAACCATTGCATTGAACATCAAGTCTCCGGGACACTCTGTAAGATGCTCCACTCCAGCCTGCAAATGGAAATCCCGGTTAGCCAACGGCCACAGATCGTTGGAATGCTAAAAAAATCGCCATTAAAAATCACCAAATAGCCAGTTATCAAGAACTACCTATTTCACCTGTTTACCCTTTTCCTTCTCTTTAGGAAAGTTTTTTTTTTTGTATCATTTCATTGTCAAAAATATTCTAATGACAATTCAATAAGCATAACATAAAAAACAATAATAACAGTATCGAAAGCAATGGTATTAGTTTTCCCCTCAGTTCAATGAATGGGAAAATCAGGGTCGGTAACTAGGGTCTACTGATAGACTCCTTGCCAGCTGAGCACATGTGGAGCCATCTGTATGTAACAAAATTCACCAAAAACTACAGGGGACCGAACATAAATCCGTGGCGAATGGGTTAATTCTGTGCCTCCTTTCTAATTATTCGATCGCTGATATATATTTCGCAGCACACACACACACAAGATTAGACACACAAACACACACACATATATATGCATATATATATACATATATATATATATGTATATATATATATGTGTGTGTGTGTGTGTGCATATATATGCATATATATACATACACATATATATGTATGCATATGTTTGATTTATCTATTTATTTAATCAATCATATTCATATATATGTATATGTATGTACATGTGCTTCATGCTCAGGGTGATGCTAAGCGATGGTTTCGTTTCCTAGATAGTGTTAAGTGCTTTGCATTCTTTC